AGGAAATGTGGGGCCTCTCTCTGGGCCACTACAGGCAATAAGGATACAATGGGAACAGGACAGAGAAAGTTCCTTTTCTCAAAGAATTGTCATTCTAGTGGGGAAACAAACAATAAACAAGGCAACAAATCTAGCTAAATATAGATTGTGGGCAAGAACAATAATAAACAGACAGGGGCTGGGCTCAGTGGCTCAGACCTGTAATCCCAGCACTTTGGGAGGCTGAGGCAGGAGGATCGCTGGAGCCCAGGAGTTCAAGACCAGCTTCGGCAACAAGGTGAGATCACGTCTCTACAAAAAATAAACAGATTGGCCAGGCATGGTTGCATGTGCCTGTAGTCCCAGCTACTCAGAAGGCTGAGGTGGGAGGATCACTTGAGCCCAGCAGTTCAAGATACCTGGGCAACAGAGTAAGACCCTGTCTCTACAAAAGATAAACAGATTAGCTAGGCATGGTGCCATGTGCCGGTAGTTCCAGCTAGTTGGGAGGCTGAGGTGGGAGGATCACTTGAGCCCAGGAGGTCAAGGCTGCAGTGAGCTATGATCATGCCACTGCACTCCAGCCTGGGCAACACAAAAAGACCAACTCAAAAAAAAAAAAAAAAAAGAGAGAGAGAGAAAGAAATAAACATGGTGTTAGTGTATGTAGCAATGGGAGGCTGGGCAGGGTATTAGGTGGTCCTTCCAGGCAAAGCCAATAGGCATGCAAATCTCAGATTGCGGATTTACATCTCAGGCCAAACGCACCTCCCCATCAAAGCCCTTCCTGACCTCCCAAGCGAGGTGTTAGCCTATTGCTGATATCCTAACAACCCACCAGTCCCTTTTCTGACACTGATCATAATTATGTTTTTATTTATTTTATTTGTGAGACAGAGTTTTGTTCTCATCGCCTAGGCTGGAGTACAGTGGCACAATCTCAGCTCACTGTAACCTCCGCCTCCTGGGTTCAACTGATTCTCCTGCCTCAGCCTCCCAAATAGCTGGGATTACAGGTATGCACCACCATGCCCTGCTAATTTTGTGTTTGTAATTCAGATGGGGTTTCTCCATGTTGGTCGGGCTGGTCTTGAACTCCCAACCTCAGGTGATCCGGCCATCTCGGCCTCCCAAAGTGCTGGGATTACAGGCTTGAGCCACCGGGCCCAGTCCATAATTACATTGAAATAAACATAACATTGGCCGCTTGCTGTCAGTTTCCCTCCCTACAGTGGAAGCTCCTGTGCCCCTTGCAGTGGCTCTAGGCACTTGGTCAATATTTGTTAAAGGCACAAAACGTGCTGGTTACATAATTTCTAACCAGCTTCCGAATTCCATAAATCTAATCAGAGCAATGCCCGGGGACAAATTTTACCCAGATGAGACATCCTTATACAGTAGATATATCTAGGAAATGTTTTTTTCGGTACACACTGTGCCTCTCAATCTTGAAAATGCTACAAAGTGCTCGCTTTGGCAGTGCATAGACTAAAACTGGAACGACACAGAGAAGATGAGCAGGGCACCTAATTTTAAAAATGCTAATGAAAATGTTAGAAAAACCATAAATGGGGCCGGGTGCAGTGGCTCACGCCTGTAATCCCAGCACTTTGGGAGGCCAAGGCGGGCAGATCACGAGGTCAGGAGATTGAGACCATCCTGGCTAACATGGTGAAACTCCATCTCTACTGGAAAAAAAAAAAAACACTATAAATGGATGGAACACCGCAGTGCCTGAGAGGAAACAATTATTTAAATGATAGCATCACCGTTTAAAAACAAAAAACTGTCGGGCGCGATGGCTCACTCCTGTAATCCCAGCACTATGGGAGGCAGAGGTGGGTGGATCACTTGAGGCCAGGAGTTCGAGACCAGCCTGGCTAATGTGGTGAAACCCTGTCTCTACTAAAAATACAAAAATTAGCCGGGCGTAGTGGCGTGCACCTGTAATCCCAGCTACTCCGGAGGCTGAGGCAGGAAAATCTATTGAACCCAGGAGGCAGAAGTTGCAGTGAGCCAAGATCATGCCACTGTGCTCCAGCCTGGGTGACAGAATGAGACTCCATCTCAAAAAGTAAATAAAGGCTGGGCATGGTGGCTCACATCTGTAATCCCAGCACTTTGGGAGGCTGCGGTGGGCGGATCACCTGAGGTCGGGAGTTTGAGACCAGCCTGACCAACATGGTGAAACACCGTCTCCACTAAAAATACAAAATTAGGGTGTGGTGGTGCATGCCTGTAATCCCAGCTACTCGGGAGGCTGAGCCAGAAGAATTGCTTGAGCCTGGGAGGCGGAAGTTGCAGTAAGCTGAGATCGTGCCATTGTACTCCAGCCTGGGAAACAAGATCGAAACTCCATCTCAAAATAAATAAATAAAAATAAATAAAAACGAAAACAAAAATAGCTTAAAATCACAAAGAAATCCACTTGAAAACAAATAATACATTTTCTTTTCTTTTTTTCTTGATGGAGTTTTGCTATTGTTGCCCAGCTAATTTTTGTATTTTTAGTACAGATGGGGTTTCACCATGTTGGCCAGGCTGGTCTCGAACACCTGACCTTCTGATCCGCCTGCCTCGGCCTACTAAAGTGCTGGGATTACAGGCGTGAGCCACCCCACCCAGCCTAGTTTTTCTTCTTTTTTTTTTTTTTTTTGGAAACGGAGTCTTGCTTTGTTGCCCAGGCTGGAGTGCAGTGGCCGGATCTCGGCTCACTGCAAGCTCTGCCTCCCAGGTTCTCGCCATTCTCCTGCCTCAGCCTCCTGAGTAGCTGGGACTACAGGCGCCCGCCACCATGCCCGGCTAGTTTTTTGTATTTTTTAGTAGAGACAGGGTTTCACCATGTTTGCCAGGATGGTCTCGATCTCCTGACCTGGTGATCCGCCCGTCTCGGCCTCCCAAAGTGCTGGGACTACAGGCTTGAGCCACCACGCCCGGCCTAATTTTTCTTTTTTATAGAGATGGGAATCTTGCTACATTGCCCAGGCTGGGCTCAAATGCCTATTCTCAAGGAATTCTTCTGCCTGGGCCTCCCAAAGTGCTGAGATTACTGGCATGAGCCACCAGGCCCAGCCTAAGATAATGAACTTTTAAAATTCACTGTAAACAAGGCAAACAGCATCCAATGTGTATGACATTCTGGGCCAATGGAGGCTGGAATGGGCAGGGAGAAAACCAGGCTATCTTGTAGTCCTGATCTTGGCACACCAGCAGATTTCCAGCCTCACATCCTGCAACATAAGTCAGGAAGTGAGCTAATGGTGAAAGTCAAGGCATCATTCAAACCAAGATGTGTTGCCTGACCTCTCTGACAATTCAATTGGAAACCTCTGGATTTGGGGAAAGAGGATTTTGGTTTCAATTTTATTTTCTTTCTACATGCTTCCTCTTGGTGTATAACTGCCTTCCTCTCTTGTGATGACAGTCTGGGAGCTTAGCCTGTGTGTATTTAATTTCCTGAGATTTCATGGATTTGCTGGGAGGAATTCTCTGTGGCTACTCTTTGCCCTTTCACAAGAGCCTGTGGTTTCCCCAGCACTCCCTGGTTCCCCAACATGCTGTTTTTCAGTCCCAGGGACGCAGTTGGAGTTTTTAAGCTCTGATCTCGGTTTGGGCCCAAGTCCAATGGGTCACAAAAGGCTCAGTCTAAAAAAAAGAAAAATGTCCTGACAGTGCAGCTTTGCCCTAAGAATCACCTCTGTCTCTGGTTCTCCTGGCATTCCAAGCACATCAGTTAAGAGGATAGCCCTGGCAGCACCAAAAGGCCTCTTGTAGAGTGGGGGTTTTTGGAGAACCATGAAAGGAATCGTGTTCTGCATTTATTAAAAATTAGTTTAGGTTCTAAACTGTGTTATGTGATGGGAAGGATGTGTGTGATAGTGATTACAAGGAAAACATGAAGATTACCACACAGGAACAATTCTATGGAAAAACCACAGATATTTTAAGAAAAGTTTATATTTCAAGAGGAGTGTGTATTTTCTCCTCTGGAAAAATGAAAGACCTGTGAATAATGATTGAAAAAACAGACAAGACGGCTCCATCAATTTAAAGGGGAAATAGGGGAAAGATGACCAATTCAAGCATTTTTTCCAAATTACATGGAAAGAAAAACACTGTGTAAGTTCTGAATCTGTATACTTTAATATTATCATTAAAACAAACTGCTTGGCCAGGGGCGGTGGCTTACACCTGTAATCGCAGCACTTTGGGAGGCTGAGGCAAGCGGATCACTTGAAGTCGGGAGTTTGAGACCAGCCTGGTTAACGTGGCGAAACCCCATCTTTACTGAAAATACAAATATTAGCCAGGTGTGGTGGCACACGCCTGTCGTCCCAGCTACTCGGGAGGTTGAGGCAGGAGAATCACTCAAACCCGGGAGCTGGACATTGCAGTGAGCTGAGATCACACCACTGTACTCCAGTCTGGGTGACAGAGTGAGACACCATCTCCAAAACAAAACAAAAACAAAACAGAATGCTCAAAGCACTTGTGAATCTGAAGTACCTATTTTCTTTTCTTCTTCTTTTTTTAGAAACAGGATTTCTCTGTGTCCCCTGGGGCTGGAGTGCACTGACTTGATCATGGTTCACTGTAGCTTCGACCTCAGGGGCTCAACCCATTCTCCTGCCTCAGCCTCTCAAGTAGCTGGGACTACTGTCACGTATCACAAGTGGATCATTTAAAAAATTTTTTTTGTAGAGATGGGGTCTCACTTACGTTGCCCAGGCTGGTCTCAAACTCCTGGGCTCCAAGGATCCTCCCACCTCAGCCTCCCAATGTTCTGGGATCATCATTATTGATTATTACGACATTTTGGGCTATGGGAGGAAAGACTAGGTAGAAAAACAGCCCACAAAAATGCTCAAAGCCCTTACAAGGTTGAAGTATTTTTTTTTCTTTTCTTTTTTTGAGACAGGGTCTTGCTGCAGACCAGGTTGGAGTGCAGTGGTGTGATCAGAGCTCACTGCAGCCCGCACTTCCTGGGTTCAAGCACTCCTCCGCCTCAGCCTCCGGAGTAGCTGGAACTGCAGGTGCGCGCCACCACGCCCAGTTATTTTTTTTAATTTTTATTTTTGTGGAGACGGGGGTCTCACTATGTTGCCCAGGCTGGTCTCGAACTCCTGGGCTTAATCTCTCTTCTGGTCTCTGTCCCCCAAACTGCGGGGATTAGAGGGGTGAGCCACCGCACCCGGCCTTGAGTCCCCATTTTCCTGGAACGAACACTGCATTTCATCTGACAAAAGGACAGTTTCAGTTTCCTCCTCTGCAAAATGGGCTGGGGGTGGAATTCCCATCTTGCAACCGAGAATTCCCTGATAATAAACGTCAAGTGCCGAACGCGGTTGAGGCGCAGGAGCCCACTCAACGGGAGCAGCTCACTGGGACATTCAGAACAATCTGGAAAAGTGGGCACGGGCAGCCCCAGACGTCATCCCCGGACCCCGCTGCCCAGCAGCGCCCGGACGCGAGCGCTGTCCGTGTCCCAGCACCGAAGTCGGCGTTTGGCCGCAACGTCCCCGGCCCTGCTCCTCCCACGCCGCCGCGGAGCGGATCTTCCACAGAAACTACACACAAACGTCCATTCCGAGAGCAACCTGTCTTTCTCTGAAGGCGTCACGGCCAGAGCTCGCCTTCCTGTAGCTCCCAGGCCGGACGCCAGCTCTCCGCTAGCAACCGCGGCCTCTAGCGACAGCCGCCCGGGAACCACCGGAACCCTCTGCACCGGCGCGGAGAGGCGCGGGTACGTGACTTCCGCTCGCGCCCGGCGGAAGCCAGGGGGCGGGGCTTGTGTGGCGGCGTCACGGGGCGGGGCCTCGGGTGGCGGGAAGAGGAGGCGCGAGAATGGAGGTGGAGGCCGTCTGTGGTGGTGCGGGCGAGCTGGAGGCCCAGGACCCTGCCCCTTCCTCCAGCAAGGCCCCCGGCAGCGCCGGCCACTACGAGCTGCCGTGGTGAGGTCCCAGGCCGTAAAGAATGGGCGCATTTGGATGTGAGGGTGGGCGAGTGGCTGCCCGTGCTCTGGAGAAACTCGGGGGGCAGGGGCTCGTTTTGGGGGATCCCGAAGGAAGAGGAGACCCCGGGTGGCATCGAGATGATTTCAAGGAGGCGAGGGACATGGATCGAGAGTGGCCGTCCTAAACTCTGCGAGCGGAGGCTCGCTCACAACAATGCTTATGACAGTTAGGGCTACCCCAGGTGGCCACCTACTCTGACCTAGTTGGTTTTTTCAAAAGTTTTTGTGGATAGCAGTGTATGACCTCGTGTTTTTAAAAACCTCGGTCTTTTAAAAAAAATTGATTACCTGTTCAAAATAATATTTTGACTGTTAGGTTCAATAACATTTACATTTGAAATTTTTTTTTTAAATAGAGACGAGGGTTTTTGCTGTGTTGCCTAGGCTGGTGTCCAACTCCTTGGCTCAAGTGATCCTCCTGCCTCAGCCTCCCAAGTAGATGGGACTACAGGCATGCAACACCATGTCCAGCTAATTTTTTTGTTTTTTGAGATGGAGTAACACTTTGTCACATAGGCTGGAGTGCAATGGTGTGATCTTGGCTCACTGCAACCTGCGTCTCCCGGGTTCAATCAGTTCTCCTGCCTCGGCCTTTCTAGTAGCTGGGATTACAGGTGTGTACTACCACACCCTGCTAATTTTGTATTTTTAGTAGAGACTGGGTTTCACCATGTTGGCCAGGCTGGTCTCAAAGTCCTGATCTCAAGTGATCCATCCGCCTCGCCCTCCCAAAGTACTGGGATTACAGGCATGAGCCACTGCGCCCAGCCTAGATCTACGGTTTTTGTCTAGCCAGCCATGCTGTATATTTGGCACATGTCTGCAGAAACTGGCAGGTAATCCTTGCCTGGCACGGTGGCTCACGCCTATAAATCCCAGCACTTTGGGAGGCTGAGGTGGGCGGACCACCCGAGGTCGGTAGTTCGAGACCAGCCTGACCAACATGGAGAAACCCCATCTCTACTAAAAATACAAAATTCTCTGGGCGTGGTTGCGCATGCCTGTAATCCCAGCTACTGGGGAGGCTGAGGCATTAGAATCGCTTGAACCCGAGAGGTGGAGGTTGCAGTGAGCCAAGATCGCGCCATTGCACAACAAGAGCGAAACTGTCTCAAAAAAAAAAACTGGCAGATAAGGGATGGGAAAGGAGCTTGGCTGCACCCATGTTGTCACACCAAATGATGTCAGCATTGTGTGTGCTGGGACCCTTGTGACGGGCAGACAGGGTTGCAGCAGTGTCACGTTTCTTCAGATGGCCTGTGCTGGCCCTGCTCCAGCAACAACAGGTGTTTCTGTGCTGTAGCAGGTTTGAAGCCTTTGCTGTACAATTCTCATGCCCTTAACTTTTCAAGTGGCACTTGGGCATCTTATTACATTTTATTTATTTATTTATTTATTTATGAAACAGAGTCTCACTCTGTAGCCCGGGCTGGAGTGTAGTGGCGCAATCTCAGCTCACTGCAACTTCTGCCTCCCGGGTTCGAGCTATTTTCATGCCTCAGCCTCCCAAATAACTGGGATTACAGACGCACACTACCACATCCGACTAATTTTTGTATTTTTAGTAGTGATGGGGTTTCACTATGTTGGCCAGGCTGGTCTCAAACTCCTGACCTCAAGTGATCCACCCACCTCAGCTTCCCAAAGTGCTAGGATTACAGGCGTGAGCTACCGTGCCTGGCTAGCATCTTATTATATTTAAAACCTGCAACCATTTGGCATAGTTGTACTGAATGTATGTAATTTTCCAACAAAGCTCTCAGGATGACCCTTAAGTGCTTTTTGTGGGGTAGTGTGAAGATAACCATGTCAGCATTTTTATGCATTTTCTTAACAGGGTTGAAAAATATAGGCCAGTAAAGCTGAATGAAATTGTCGGGAATGAAGACACTGTGAGCAGGCTAGAGGTGAGTGGCTGTTTTTTGTGTTTTTTTTGAGATGGAGTCTTGCTCTGTTGCCCAGGCTGGAGTGCAGTGGCGCGATCTCGGCTCACTGCAAGCTCTGCCTCCTGGGTTCAAGCTATTCTCCTGCCTCAGCCTCCCGAGTAGCTGGGATTACAGGCATGCGCCACCACGCCCGGCTAATTTTTGTATTTTTAGTAGAGACGGGGTTTCACCATGTTGGCCAGGCTGGTCTCGAACTCCTGACCTCATGATCTGCCCACCTCGGCCTCCCAAAGTGCTAGGATTACAGGCGTGAGCCACCATGAGCGGCCTTGAGTAGCTTTTTAAAAGATGACCTAAGGCCAGGCGCTCACACCTGTAATTCCAGCACTTTGGGAGGCTAAGGCGGGCGGATCACTTGAGGCCAGGTGTTTGAGATCAGCCTGGGCAACATGGTGAAGCCGGTCTCTACGAAAAAATTTAAAAATGAGCTGAGTGTGGTGGCGCGTGCCTGTAGTCTGAGGTTCAAACTGGGCGTGGTGGCAAGTGCCTGTAATCCCAGTTACTCAAGAGGCCAAGGCAGGAGGATCTCTTGAGCCCAGGAGTTTGACGCTGCAGTGAGCTGTGATCACACCACTGCACTCTAGCCTAGGTGACAGAGTGAGACCCTTACTTTGAGAAACAAAAAGAGTTTGGGCTTCATAGTGAGGGCAGGGAGGAGTTAAGGATTTCAGTCTAGTCAGAAATTCCTTTAATAGGGCCGGTGCGGTGGCTCACACGTGTAATCCCGCACTTTGGGAGGCAAGGTGTTGGATCACCTGAGTCAGGAGTTCACGACCAGCTGGCCAACATGGCGGAACACCTGTCTCTACTAAGAATACAAAAATGTTTAGGCAGCCTGGTGGTGGGGGTGCCTGTAATCCCAGCTACTCTGGAGGCTGAGGCAGAGAATCATGAACCTGGGAGGCAGAGCTTGCAGTGAGCCGAGATCGCCCATGCACTCCAGCCTGGGCAATGGAGCAAAACTCATATCTAAAAAAAAAAAAAAAAAGCCAGTTTATGCCTGTAATCCCAGCAGGTTTGGAGGCCCAGGCGGGCAGATCATGAGGTCAGGAGATTGAGACCATCCTGGCTAACATGGTGAAACCCCATCTCTACTAAAAATAAAAAAATTAGACAGCCAGGTGCGGGCGCCTGTGGTCCAATACTTGGAGGCTGAGCAGGAGAATAGCCGTGAGGACCTGGGAGGCGGGCTTGCAGTGAGCCAAGATCGCGCCTGCACTCCTGCCTTGGTGACAAAGTGAGACTTCGTCTCAAAAAAAAAAAATAGAAAAAAGCAGTTTTAAGTAAGTGTGTACTTTAGGAAAGTGGTTGTGGTTACAGGATGGGAAATGGATTTGAATGGGAGCATGGAGATCACTTAATGGCCCATTGATGCGATCAGACAAGATAATGGGAAAGTGGTAGCAGGGATGGAGAGAAGTAAAGGACACTGGAGACGAAGAGGAGGATGGTGAAGCCTGGTAATTGAAGTACCCAGGGTGAGGATGAGGCCAAACCAAGATGATTGCGACCTCAGCTTCGTGGCATGGACAGTCCCTGGTGGGAAACATGGGTAGGGCCTCAGGTTTGTACAGGAGAATGAAGTGTAGCAGTTTTGAAGATGCCCAGGTGAGTTCCTGTATTCCAGCTACTCGGAGGCCAAAGCAAAAGGATCGCTTGAGCCGGGGATTCAAGACTGCAGTGAGCCTTGATCACACCACTGCACTCCAGGCTGGGTGACAGAGCCAGACTGATCTCTAAAAGAATAAAAAGAACTTGAGGTGGATGGGGCATCCACGTAGAAATTTGTAGCCACGTTTACTACACGGGCTGTGTAGCTGGGGAATTCAGCTCCTCAAGCCTACAAATTAACCAGGTTTTGTGGTTTTTTTTCTTTTTGAGACAGTCCCACTATTGCCCCAGCTGAGTGCAGTGGCACAATCACAGCTCATGCAGCTCACTTCTCAGGCGTCAACTGATCTCCCATTTCAAGCCTCCCGAGTAGGCTGGGAGTACAGCGCGCTTCCAACGCACACTGGTAATTTCTGTTTTATTTTTTGAGGAGACAGAGTCTGACTATGTTGCCCAGCCTGGCCTCTAACGCCAGGCCTCAAGTGATTGTCCTGCCTTGGCCTCCCAAAGTGCTAGGGTTACAGGCATGAGCCACTGTGCTCAGCCGAGTTTTAACCTGCTTGTTTGTTCTTTTTTCTGTCTTTTTAATCTAGTCATCCAGAATCAAGTTTTAACCAGTTTTAATGATCATTTTCGCTGTAGGTCTTTGCAAGGGAAGGGAATGTGCCCAACATCATCATTGCGGTGAGTACCCAGCCCTGGGCCTGTTGAGTGTCTCCATGTCTCATCCCACTGCGCGTTGAAGTACTTTTTTGTGCATAGCACTCCCTGCCTGGAGAGCCCCTTACCATTCCCACGGCAAAGGGAAGCATTTCGTTCGAGTTAGTTGGGAGGCCTGGGGTTGGTTGCTGTATTTTTTTTTTTTTTATTTTTTCTCTGAGACAGAGTCTTACTCTGTCACCCAGGCTGGAGTGCAGTGGTGCAATCTCTACTCATGGCAACCTCTTCCTCCCAGGTTCAAGCGATTCTCCCACCTCAGCCTCCTGAGTTGCTGGGATTACAGGTACCTGCCACCACGCCTGGCACATTTTTTTGTATTTTTAGTTAGAGACAGGGTTTCGCTATGTTGGCCAGGCTCGTCTCGAACTCCTGACCTCAGGTGATCTGCCCTCCTCGGCCTCCCAAAGTGCTGGGATTACAGGTGTGAGCCACTGCGTCCGGTCAGCTGTGTTGATCTGTGTGTGCTGTGTGTGGGATGCGGGGGTCAGAGGGGACGGAGGTGCATACCGCGGTGAGCAGAACTCAGGAGTTATCTGCAGTCCTTCTGGTGGTTTGTAGTCTTTACTGGAGATCTCGTTCCCAGGGCCCTCCAGGAACTGGCAAGACCACAAGCATTCTGTGCTTGGCCCGGGCCCTGCTGGGCCCAGCACTCAAAGATGCCGTGTTGGAACTCAATGCTTCAAACGACAGGTAGGTCTTAGAGTCAGTCCTGCAGGGGGGTGGGTGCTCTGCACTGAGAATTGTTACAGAAACAGCCTTTCTCAGCATTGGGTTGTATTCGAAGTTGGCCTTGCCAGCTATGTGATTTCCTCCACCCCTTCCCAGTGAAAGAGCATTACTCACTTGTCAACTTGCTGGTTTATTATTTTTTTTTTCATGGAAATTTTCAAAAACTTTATCAGCTGGGCATGGTGGCTCACACCTGTAATCCCAGCACTTTGGGAGACCGAGGCGGGTGGATCACCTGAGGTCAGGAATTTGAGACCATCCTAGCCAACATGGTGAAACCCCATCTCTACTAAAAATACAAAAATTAGCTGGGTGTGGTGTCAGGCGCTTGTAATCCCAGCTACTCAGGAGGTTGAGGCAGGAGAATCACTTGAACCTGGGAGAAGGAAGTTGCAGTGAGCGGAGATTGCGCCATTGGTCACTCCAGCTTGGGTGATGAGCAAAATTCCATCTCAAAAACAAAAAACACAAAAAATCAGTTTTTCTCTTTTTTTCAAGTTTAAAATTTTTGTAGAGATGGAATGTTACTATGTTGCCGAGGCTGATCTCAAACCCTTAGCCTCGAGCAATCCTCCTGCCTCAGCCTGCTAAGATGCTAGGACTGTAGACACATGCCACCGTACGAGCTTTTTTTTGTGGAGATGGGGTCTCACTATGTTGTCCAGGCTGGTCTTGAAGTCCGGGACTCAAGCGATCCTCCTTGCTTCAGCCTCCTGAAGTGCTTGGATTACAGACCTGAGCCACTACACTGGGATGTTCAACCAGTAAATATAATGCAAAATTCCAAAATGTGAAAAAAAACCCAGATCTGAAACATTTCTGGTCCCAAGCATTAGGGATAAGGGTTACTCAGCCTGTATATTTAAAGTATATGTAAGGCTGGCCAGGCATGGTGGTTCACGCCTATAATCCCAGCACTTTGGGAGGTTGAGGCAGGTGGATTGCTTGAGTCCAGGAGTTTAAGACCAGCCTAGGTGACATAATGAAACCCCATCTCTCTGTATAAAAGTAAAAATCTCTGTATATCTCTCTGTATAAAAGTAAAAATAAAGCGTACTGGAGGATGTGTATAAGTTAATATGCAAATTACCATTTCATATAAGGGGCATGGGCATAAGTGAATTTTGGTGTCTGAGGAGGAGCCTAGCACCAGTCCTCAGGAACACTGAGTTCAGTCTTTGATTCTTCAGTTTGGGAAAATGTGTGGAGGATATTGGCATCTGAAGATTCATAGTCTGAGATTTTGCTTGTATGATCAGTTTCACCATCAGAGTCTAGAATGTCGCTATTGGTGTCTCTGCAGTTCTTTTCTTTTCAGTTCTTTCTTTCTTTCCTTTTTTTTTTTTTTTTTTCTGAGGCAGAGGCTCGCTCTGTCACCCAGGCTGGAGTGCAGTGGCACGATCTCGACTCACCATAACCTCCTGGGTTCAAGCGATTCTTGTGCCTCAGCCTCCCGAGTAGCCAGGAGTACAGGAGTGTGCAGCCACGCCCAGGTAATTTTTGTATTTTTAGTAGAGATGAGGTTTCGCCATGTTGGCCAGGCTGATCTTAAACTCCTAGCCTAGAGTGGTCCGCCTACCTCGGTCTCCCAAAGTGCTGGGATTACAGGTGTGAGCCACCATGCTTGGCCTACATTGCAGTTATTTTCTGATTCATCTAATAATTAGGAAGAGTCCTGTCAATTTTTTTCTCTTGCCTGTTGTGGGTGGAAAATGAAAAATTTTGAATTCTTGGCTGTGGTCAGTGAAAGCTTACAAGATAACAAAGGTGATGTATTTGCATTTCTGTTATATCTTTTGAAAGATAATACGGTATCTCAAGCAATGCAGTTAAAAAACTGAAGGATGAGGATTTTTTTTTTTTTTTGAGGCAGAGTCTCGAATTATTGCCAGGCTGGGGTGCGGTGGTGCGATCCTGGCTCACCGAACCTGGGAGGCAGAGGTTGCAGTGAGCCAAGAGGGTCACTACACTCAAGCCTGGATGACACAGTGAGACCCTATCTAAAAAAATATATATATATATATATTTTCTTTGTTCTTTGAAAGAACTCCAAGAAGGAACAAATGCATAAAAATCTCAATCCTTATAAATAGTTATAATTGCCCCCCAAAAGAACTTAAAAATGAAAATCGAGTCTTGCAATCCCTGATATACCGATTGTTTAAAAGTCGTCATGGGCCGGGCGCGGTGGCTCAAGCCTGTAATCCCAGCACTTTGGGAGGCCGAGGTAGGCGGATCACGAGGTCAGGAGATCGAGACCATCCTGGCTAACACGGTGAAACCCCGTCTCTACTAAAAAATACAGAAAAACTAGCCGGGCGTGGTGGCGGGCGCCTGTAGTCCCAGCTACTCAGGAGGCTGAGGCAGGAGAATGGCATGAACCCGGGAGGCGGAGCTTGCAGTGAGCCGAGATTGCGCCACTGCACTCCAGCCTGGGCAACTGAGCGAGACTCTGTCTCAAAAAAAAAGTCCTCGTGAAGGCAACTGAATTTGTCTCAGAAAGTGCCAGTAAAATCTTGCTATTCTTTCAGGGGCATTGATGTTGTGAGGAATAAAATTAAAATGTTCGCTCAACAAAAAGTCACTCTTCCTAAAGGCCGACATAAGATCATCATTCTGGATGAAGCAGACAGGTAGAGTGCTTTGCCAAATATATTTTGACCTTGATCTCTAAATCTCTTTTTGGACTTTATTCAGTCGGGATGAAAAGCACTTTTATGGTAGATTTGCTTATATCTTCAACAAGCAATTTAATAGGGGCCTGCACCTTAAATCTTTTCTTTATTAAGTAACTTACAAATATTTGTCTAGGTTAGTCATTCATGTAATGTGCTGGTTTCAGCATCTCTTACGTTAATAATTTAAATGAAGTGTTTTTTGTTTTTGTTTGTTTGTTTGTTTTGAGATGGAGTTTCTCCCTGTCACCCAGGCTGGAGTACAGTGGCGCAATCTCTGCTCACTGCAACCTCTGCCTCCCGGGTTCAGGCAGTTCCCTGGCCTCAGCCTCCCGAGTAGCTGGGACTACAGGCACCTGCCACCATGCCCAGCTAATTTTTGTGTTTGTATTTGTATTTATTTATTTATTTATTTTTTGAGACAGAGTCTCGCTCTATCACCCAGGCTGGAGTGCAGTAGCGTGATTTCAGCTCACTGCAACCTCCGCCTCCTGGGTTCAAGTGATTCTCCTGCCTTAGCCTCCCAAGTAGCTGAGACTACAGGCGCGCACCACCACGCCCAGCTGATTTTTTGTATTTTTAGTAGAGATGGGGTTTCACTGTGTTAGCCAGGATGGTCTCAATCTCCTGACCTTGTGATCTGCCCGCCTCAGCCTCCTAGAGTGCTGGGATTACAGGCGTGAGCCACTGAGCCCGGCCTAATGTTTGTATTTTTAGTAGAGACAGGGTTTTGCCACATTGGCCAGACTGGTCTCGAACTGCTGACCTCAGGTGATCTACTCGCCTCAGCCTCCTAAAATGCTGGGATTACAGGTGTGAGCCACCATGCCCAGCCTGTAAAATTTTTTATTGTGGTTAAATGGACATAATTAACCATAACATAAAATTTACCTTTTTAACTATTTTGAAATGTACAGTTAATTCAGTGGCATTTAGTACATTTGCAATGTTGTGCAACCATCACAACACTGTGGTTGGTATAAATGAAGAATCTGAGTCCAGGCTTGGTGGCTCACACCTGTAATCCCAGCACTTTGAGTGGCCAAGGCAGGCGGATCACCTGAGGTCAGGAGTTTGAGACCAGCCTGACCAACATGGAGAAACTTCGTCTCTACTAAAAATACAAAATTAGCCGGTATGGTGGCGTATGCCTGTAATCCCAGCTACTTGGGAGGCTGAGGCAGGAGAATTGCTTGAACCCGGGAGGCAGAGGTTGCTGTGAGCTGAGATTACGCCATTTGCGCTGCAACCTGGCCAACAAGAGCGAGACTTCATCTCAAAAACAAAAAAAAAAAATTGAAATGACATTAAAAAAAATATAGAACCCTAACGCTATAATGTTGTTTTTTTTGTTGTTGTTTCTGAGACAGGGTCTCACTGTGTCGCTCAGGCTAGAGTACAATGGCACAATCATAGCTCACTGCAGCCTTGAACTCCTCGGCTCTAATGATCCTCCACCTCAGCCTCCCAAGTAACGGAGACTACAGGCTTGTGCAACTGCAACCAGCTTTTTTTTTTTTTTTTTTTTTGCCCTAGAGGCAGGGTCTCACTATGTTACCCAGGCTGGTCTCAAACTCCTGGCCTCAAGTGATCTGTCTGTCTCGGCCTCCCAAAGTGCTAGGATTGCAGGCATGAGGTGCTGTGCCCGGCGACAATAACTTTTATTTAGGGGCAAAGAGAGACGGTGGCTCATAACATATAACAAAACAACAGCATCTTAGAGGAGAGACAAGAGAAAGCAGGAAAATTGCTGTAGCGTCGGAGTCCTCCGAACAACCCACCGTGGCCCAAGCACGGACCAACCCTGTCGTCTACTAAAAATAAAAACAAAATAAAAGAACCAAACAGATGAAAAGGTAAGGACGCCAAGAAAAAAGCCTAGGAGTAGCAAGAAATAGCAATGATCATCCCCACCACGCGATAACCTAAAACCAAGGATGAGTCTGAGGCAGGAGATATCGCTCTTGTACCACAGGAGACGAGTTGCAGTTGAGCGAGGTGGTGCCAGTGCACCACCAGCCCCTGGGCAACAAGAGCAAGACCTCCTGTCTCAAAAAGAAAAAAAAAATTTCTTTTTTGTTCAAATATAGCCAGTAATTCATGTTCTTGTGAAGAAATTTAGATAATCTTAATAGGTTCGCTGTGGTTTTTATTTATTTTCAGTTGGAGTCTCATCTGTTTATCGCAGGCTGATGCAGTGGCTGATCTCGGTCACGCTAATCTGCTTGCCTCACTGGGTCCAAGCTGACTTCTCCTGTCCTCAGCTGCGAGTTAGCTGGGACTTAAGATGCGCACCCACCACGCCCAGAAATTTTTTTTTTTTTTTTGTTTTTTAGCTAGAGTTGAGTTGACATGCGTTGGCCAGCGCGGCTGATCTTGAAACTCCTGAGATTTCACACGGAGATCTGCCCACCTTGGCCTCCCATTTGCGTGCTGGGAATTATAGGCAATGGGAGCCACCATGCCTGGCCACTTAACAGCTTGCTTTTATTCTCTGTTTTATACACCTATCGATGCTTTACATGAGTTGGATCATAATATATACTAATTTATTAATATCACTGGGTTTTTCTTTTAATCGTTAATAGCAGTGCTCTGCATTATATGAAAACTGGTCACAACACGGCTTTTTTTTTGGTATTTTTTTTACATTTTTTGTAGAAATAGAGGCATCCACATCATGCTTGCCAGGCCTCGGTCCTCCAAGCGTGGTCCGCTCTCCCAGCTGCATCAGCCATCTTTGCGATGGGAGGATGGCTTGAGCCAGGGTTTCAAGGCGTGCAGTGAGCTATGACCATCGGCACGCTGCACGCCTGGGTTGACAGCAAGAACCTTCCTCTTTGGCGCCAGATCAGCACAGGTTCAGGCAGATGAGACCCCCATACTTGGCTACATCACGTCGAAACCCCGTCTCTTCTAAGAAATAGCAAAAACTCGCCTACGCTGCAGCGGTGGCTGGCTGCGGGAGGTCAGCTGTTCGGCGAGCGCACTGCGCGCAGGAGAATGGCGCTGAAACCCGCCGGACAGGGCGGAGCTTGCAGTGACGCCAGATGTGCACACTGGCACCCAGCCTGGGCTGACAGCAGCGAGACTCGTACCTAATCAAAACAATACAAACAACCGACTGAAGACCGCAGACTCCCATCTTAAATAATTACATTAATTAACCATAAAACAAAGAACCCTATCTCTTGAAGAAAAAAACGGAGAAGGGAAAGAAACCAGTGCGCAGCCTGGTGTCCATGACTCTTCTCTTGAATTTGAATGTCATCTGGCCGGCTGCGCGGTGATGGCAAGCCACTCTAGATGGTGGTTTTCGTGAATTTCACTTGAGGGCTGTTCTGATGCTGCGGGTACTAAATGCTGTTTGCACAGTCTTTGAGAGAGCGGCCTGCGGGTTTTAACATTAGAGCAGTGGCCTGCGTACTTCCAATGAGACCCTCATTTGGAACGTTGGGTGTATCTCTGTCCTGGGTTTTTGTGTACGGAGCGGTTTGTGTCGCACGGGCCCTGGGTCCCACTTACAAACCTGTTTTTCTTCTCAGCATGACCGACGGAGCCCAGCAAGCCTTGAGGAGAACCATGGAAATCTACTCTAAAACCACTCGCTTCGCCCTTGCTTGTAACGCTTCAGATAAGATCATCGGTGAGTGGGAGCTTTGGGTGGCTGGGGGTCCACGTAGTGCTCACCTGGGCTTTTTTCTTTTTTATAGACGTGGTCTCCCTCTTCGCTCAGGCTGGAGTGCAGTGGTGCCATCACAGCTCACTGCAGCCTCAAACTCCTGTGCTCAAGTGATCTTCCTGCCTCAGCCTCCCAGTAGCTGAGACCACAGGCCTGTGCCACCACACCTGGATTTTTTTCTTTTTTTTTTTTTTGAGACAAAGTCTCACTCTGTCGCCTATGCTGGAGTGCAATGGCGCGATCTCGGATCACTGCAACCTCCACCTCCGAGATTCCAGCAATTCTTGTGCTTCAGCCTCCTAAATAGCTGGGATTACAGGCCCACACCACCACACCCAGCTGATTTTTTTTTTTTTTTTTTTTTTTTATTAGAGTTGGGGTTTCATTCACCATGTTGGCCAGGCTGGTCTCAAAACACCTGACCTCGTGATCACCTGCCTAGGCCTCCCAAAGTGCTGGAATTACAGGTGTGAGCCACTGCACCTGGCCTCGCCTTGGCTCATTAGCACTGGAAGAGTAGGGATTTTTTGATTGCATAGCATGGGCCAAGCACTGTATAATCAAATTTTTAAATTTATATTTTTTTAATTGACAAGGAAAAATTGTATATATTATGCACAACATATTTCCCATTGTAATCAACTTTTAAAATTAATCTTATGTAATCCTATGAGGAGGTATTATTAGCTTCACTTTAGAGATGAGTAAACTGGAGCTCATCCTGATGTTTAGGATCTAAGGAAAAAAGGGAAAGAAAACTAACTTGGGGAGGTTGAGTAGTTTGCCCAAAGTCACAGAGCAAGTGCAAGAGCAGCTGGGATTGGAGCCCCAGGTCTGTCTCCCTCTTGCACTCTTGGAGGCACACAGGACATTGTTGATGTCCCTTGCACAGTGTCACGATCACAGTCGCTCTCTAGATACCTCTTGTGCTATTCGTGTGCTCTGAGCACTTGGCATAGGCAGTATCTGTACATTGGAATTTGTTGCCTCCGGGAAGCCTCTCTCTGAAATCCTGCAGTCCATCTTCTCTCTGACCTTACTGTTTGCCCTTCCACCTCCCTCCTTGCAGCCCGTCTGCTTCTGCACGGGTTTGTCCCCCCCCAGGTCCCAAGAGTGCTCTAGTCTGTCAACTTCCTGCTGGTTTCCCATCCTTCTCTTTCTTTTTTTTAGAGTCTCCCTCTGTCACCCAGGCTGGAGTGCAGTGGTGCGATTTCAGCTCACTGCTGTCTCTGCCGCCCAGATTCAAGTGATTCTCCTACCTCCGCCTCCTCAGTAGCTGGGATTACAGGCTTGTGCCACCATGCCTGGCTAATTTTTGTATTTTTGGTAGAGACGAGGTTTCATCATGTTGCCCAGGCTGGTCTAGAACTCCTGGCCTCAAGTGACCCACCTGCCTCGGCCTCCCAAAGTGCTGGGATTATAGGTGTGAGCCACTGCGGCTGGCCCATCCTTCTCTTTCTGACACAGGCTGCCTGCACAGCCCAGCTGTCCTCTTTCCTCATTTCTCATCGCTCTCTCAGCTGCTTTCTTTGCCTCACTTCCGCCCTGCTGAACCCCAACCATATGAGCTTACCCATCTGACAACCCCCTTGCCACCCAGGCTGCTGTTGCAGACAGGCACATTACCAAATGTGGCGCCCACAAAGTCATGGCTACCAGCCCTGGTGGGGCTCTCAGCAGTGTCAGGAATCCTTTACAATTTTCCCTTCCCCAAATCGCACTGATTTGTGCATTGATTCATTCAGCCGTTCATCAAACAGTTAACTCTGGTTCTTAGTAGCCGCCAGGCACCATGCTAGTGGAGAACTTGCGGAGTTTAATGAGAAGTATTCTCTGCTTTCCAGATGCCAGTGATGAAATGGAGAAAAATGCATTCCTAGTTCTTGTTTTGGCAGGGCACAGTGGCTCATGCCTGTAATTCCAGCACTTTGGGAGGCCGAGGCAGGTGGCTTGATCACCTGAGGTCAGGAGTTCAAGACCAACCTGGCCAACATGGTGAAACCCTATTTCTACTAAAAATACAAAAATTAGCCAGGCGTGATAGCGTGTGCCCGTAATCCCAGCTACTCAGGAGGCTGAGACGGGAGAATCACTCGAACCTGGGAAGTGGAGGTTGCGGTGAGCCTAGATCACACCACTGCACTCCAGCCTGGGAAACAGAGTAAGACTTGGTCTCAGAAAAAAAAAAAAAGAAGAAGAAAAAGAAAGAAACTGGCCAGGCATAGTGGCTCACACCTGTGATGCCTGCACTTTGGGAGGCTGAGGCAGGAGGACTACTTGAAGCCAGGAGTTCAAGAGCAGCCTGGGCAACATAGCAAAACCCTGTCTATGAAAAAAAAGAAATAAACTGGGGTGGCCCATTCAGATTGAATTGTCATGTGCCCAGAAGGGCCAACGTCCAGCACACACCAATTCCAGAGTCCATCTGGGCCGGGGCTAACTTATCTAAGGGCTTGTGGCACGTGGATGTGTCTCTACTGGAGGATCATTTCCCCGTCTGGAAGCCGTGGCTAACGGAGGCCATGCCAGGCAGTGCCAGCTGAGGCCTATCATTGCTTATTAGTTGACACCTTGACATATCACCCTGTTTTTACCAAGTCTCTCTCTCTCTCTCTTATTTATTTATTTATTTATTTATTTATTTGTTGAGACACAGCCTTGCTCTGTTGTCCAGGCTGGAGTGCAGTAGTGTGATCTTGGCACACTTCAGCCTCCGCCTCCCGGGCTCAAGTGAGTCTCCTGCCTTAGCCTCCCGAGTAGGTGGGAGTACAGATGTACGACACCACACCCAGCGAATTTTTGTATTTTTAGTAGAGATGGAGTTTCACCATGTTGTCCAGGCTGGTCTCGAACTCCTGACATCAAGTGATCCTTCCGCCTCAGCCTTCCAAGTCTCTACTGAGTACCTGGGGCTGTGTGGATTATGCAGCTGCAGCCTTGTAACCAAAGAGCTAGCAGGGTGATGCCGGCCTCTGCAGGGAAGCCTCACTGCCGTCCCATCTCTGTTCAGAGCCCATTCAGTCCCGCTGCGCAGTCCTCCGCTACACAAAGCTGACCGACGCCCAGATCCTCGCCAGGCTGATGAATGTTATCGAGAAGGAGAGGGTACCCTACACTGATGACGGCCTGGAAGCCATCATCTTCACGGCCCAGGGAGACATGAGGCAGGTATGTGGGCCACTACCATTCAGGCGTGGGCGTCCCGTGCCTGCCATGCCCCTTCCATGGGGAAGGGGAGGGAAGTGACAGCTGCACAAGGTACAACAAGAGAAAGAGACGGAGACCCGGCACCCTCCTGGGACAGTGGGCTGTCTAGCTCAGACTCCAAGAAGAGAGGCAGGGAAGGGCAGAGCTTTAAAAGTCACCCTGGAGGCTGAGGCAGGTGGATCACCTGAGATCAGGAGTTCGAGACCAGCCTGGCCAACATGGTGAAATCCTGTCTCTACTAAAAAATATATAAAAATTAGCCGGGCGTGGCCAGGCGCGGTGGCTCACGCCTGTAATCCCAGCACTTTGGAAGGCCGAGGCGGGTGGATCATAAGGTCAGGAGATCGAGACCATCCCAGCTAACACCGTGAAACCCCATCTCTACTAAAAATACAAAAAATGAGCTAGGCATGGTGGTGGGTGCCTGTAGTCCCAGCTATTCGGGAGACTGAGACAGGAGAATGGCGTGAACCCGGGAGGCGGAGCTTGTAGTGAGCCGAGATAGTGCCACTGCACTCCAGCCTGGGCGACAGCGAGACTCCATCTCAAAAGAAAAAAAAAAAAAAAAAACAGCTGGGCATGGTGGTGGGTGCCTGTAATCCCAGCTACTCAGGAGGCTGAGGCAGGAGAATTGCTTGAACCTCGGAGGCGGAGGTTGCAGTGACTTGAGCTTGTGCTACTACATTCCATGCTTGGTGACAGAGTGAGACCCTGTCTGAAAAAAGAAAAAAAGAGTCACTCTTGGCCTGGTGCCGTGGCTCACACCTGTCATCCCAGCACTTTGGGAGGCAGAGGCAGGAGGATCACTTGCTCTTCCTCGTCGCTGTCTCAGCTGCTTTCTTTGCCTCACTTCCGCCCTGCTGAACCCCAACCATATGAGCTTATCCATCTGACAACCCCCTTGCCACCCAGGCCACTGTTGCAGACAGGCACATTACCAAATGTGGGGCCCACAAAGTCATGGCTACCAGCCCTGGCGGGGCTCTCAACAGTGTCGGGAATCCTTTACAATTTTCCCTTCCCCAAATCGCACTGACTTGTGCATTGATTCATTCAGCCATTCACTGAACACTTAACTCTGGTCCTTAGTAGCTGCCAGGCACCATGCTAGTGGAGAACTTGCGTAGTTTAATGAGAAGTATTCTCTGCTTTCTGGACCAGCCTGGGCAACATAGCGAGACTCCTGTCTCTACTCAAAAAGAAATAAATGTAAAAATCATCCTGACATGTGTTTGCTCCTGAACAGGCGCTGAACAACCTGCAGTCCACCTTCTCAGGATTTGGCTTCATTAACAGTGAGAACGTGTTCAAGGTACAAGCGCTGGTGTGGTTGGTACCGTCAGCAGAAGCCATGCTTCCCTACGGGGGCCAGCGGGGCTGAGGGGCTGGGCTGGCAGCAGGGACAGACACCTGGCTGCTCTCGTGAGTGCCGGGGAGCCCACCCTGCTTCTGTCTGTCCTCTCCCTGTTGCTGCTTTTGCTGCACAAGTTGGAGAGTTTCGGGGAACCTGGAATGTCACTTGTGTGTGGTAGGTGAGGGGGGACCACTGATGCGTCCAACTCAGGGCCAAGCAATTTCTGACACGTCTTATTTGATCCCAGCGACTTCCCTGCACAGCGGTTCTTACCATCACATTGTGAGTGATGACGTGGGACCCCCTGGTCCCTAAAGGGCAGGCAGGAGCGCTGTGCTATTCCCCAGCAGCCTTCAGACCCCACACCCTGGGTTTTTTCTGCAATGCCATACCCTTCTCCCCACTTCTGCCCCTGGAGGGTGGGTAGCAACCCTCAAAGCCAGGCCAAGGAAAAGGGCTCTCACTTACTCTCCCATGTCGGCAAAACATTTTTCTCTTGGGAATTCTTTTGAAAACTGCTTCCACATCCTGATAACTCAGCATCTAAGTGCCATTTGGGAGACTCATTTCCTCCTTATTTGGGTAGAAACTGGGAAGGGCTGTCCAGGCTTTCAGTCTATAGCTCTTTCTTACCAGGTTTGTGGACAACAGACAAGCTATTTTTGAAGCATCTGGGTAGACCTGGGCAGTGAACGCATTTTCGAGGCCACTTAGGAAAGGGAGGCCCGCTCAGAAACAGTGGTGATGGTTTGGGCCCTGTTTTGTCTTGGAGGGTCACTGAGGGCTCAGGAAACCATGGCTTCTACTGGGAAAAGGCAAGGGCAGGTGTGGGTGGCCTCTGGAGCCATCAGGAGACTTTCATTCGGAAGATTTAGGGGTCGACATTGCACCGGAGGCAGAGCCTCGTGCCAGTGCGGGGAATGCTGCAGGGAGGAACGAGTCCCCAGCACCATCCACCCGCCTGCTGGAGCAGCGGGACCCCTCCTTTAGGGTGTCAGGCTGAGGCTGGGGGACCCTTTGCAGGGAAGGCCAGTTCCTACTCCGGGCTGGAGGTGGGAATTGGCCCAAAGGACCTCCCAGTTCTAAAGTGAATTCCAAGTGGTTCTGGGCAAATGGCTCCCCAAGTGATCTAAGACAGCTGGCTGGTGGCTTTAAAGCTGTTCCCGAGTGGGCATCCTTCACAGGCCTTGGTTGCTCTCTTGTTCATCTGTCTTGTGTTTGGAACATTTATCTTCCTGGTGCTAGAAGCACTTCTCTTTGGTGGTGAGAGGGGCATTCCCCAAACTCATTCTGGTTGCTGGAGAATTTGATGATAACAACAGATTGAGTAGTTTTACCCATAGATTGCCCGAAAATTGGTCTGTTGGGGCCTCCCCGGTCACACTGTCCCTTCCAGCCCCTGACCACCTTTCCTTTCCCTTTGGCCAGGTCTGTGATGAGCCCCACCCACTGCTGGTGAAAGAGATGATCCAGCACTGTGTGAACGCCAACATCGACGAAGCGTACAAGGTTGGCCTCCTTCCCCCCGTCCTGGCAGAGGAACTTCTTGGGCAGAGGAGACAGGAAGCCCTTCTAGTGCCAGGGACATTATACACATCACTCCATTAATTCTTGAAATCTTACTTGGGAGGCTGAGGCAACAGGATTTCTTGAGCCCTGCAGGTCAAGGCTGCAGTGAGCTTTGCTTGTGCCACTGCACCCCAGCCTGGGTGACAGAGTAAGACCCTGTGTCAGGAAAAAAAAATTATTAATATCATGCTATGTGTTAATCTGTCTAGGAGCTGGGGAAAAAAAAATCGTACCAGGAGTTGGGTGCACTTTACTGATGAGAAAACTGATTCAGAGAGGCTGAATTCCTTGTCCTAAATCTCTGTGTTTATTTCTTATTTCTTATTTTTTTAGAAACAGGGTCTTACTCTGTTGCCCAGGTTAGAATGCAGTGGCGCAGTCACAGCTCACTATAGCCTCAACCTCTCAGGCTCAGGCGATCCTCCCACCTCAGCCTCCCAAGTTGCTGGGACTAGAGGCACACGTCACTATACCCAGCCCTAAGTCATACGGTTTAAAAGCAGTAGAACTAGAATTCAAAATGGTGTTTTTCTCCTGTAATTATATCCTCTGCAAGAGAAATTTGTCAACCGAAGTCAGGAGGAAAGACCAGCCTAGCTCCTTCTCCAGGGAAGCCATCTTCTCTCCGGTTAAGGGAGGTGTCCCCATCCATTCTCATAGGCACAGGCATTCTGGGACCCAGCAGCCCCCAGCCAGCCAGGGGAGGAGGGAGCAGGAAGATTCTACCCTGACAATGGGACTGGGTGCTGTGAGCAGATTCCAGCAGGCGTGGCTAGGGCTCAGGTGACCTCAAGCCACATGGGTGTGGTGTGGTTGGTGTGTTCCAAGGTCATTGATCCAATCATAGTTTCCCTCTGCCTACCCCCTAACAAACTAGGCTGGAAGTTGACTGGGTTTAGGGCAGAGTTGCACCTAATGTGAAACCGGAGTGCAAGGCGGGGAGACTGAGCAGAGACTCAGGCCCAGGTCCCTGAATGGACCTGAAGAAAGCCTTCAGATTTGTGGGCACAGAGCTTCTCTGCCCCCCTGAATTCACCCCAAGATGCCAAAGCAAAGGCAAAAAAGTCCCTGCAGCCTGGGCGGGGCAGGTGGGTGGGAAGCAGAGTCTGGGATTACCCGTCAGGGCGTGCTCCGGGCTCGTCCTGCAGAGGTTGCATTGGGACTGCAGCTGGGCGAAGCTAGCAGATGAATGGTCTGCTTTTTCCACTCTGCTGTACCTCGTCATCAGATTAATAAAGCGTTTTAAGAGCTCCGGATCAAGAGATTACATGGGTGTGGTAGTATACCATTTTGCAACACAGCTTAAAACATTTGCAATAGGCTGGGCTCAGTGGCTCCTGCCTGTAATCCCAGCACTTTGGGAAGTCAAGACAGGAGGATTGCTTGAGGCCGGGAACTTGGGACCAGCCTGGGCAACAGAGCAAGACTCCATGTTTATATTACTGAAAAAAAAAATATTTAAGCAAAACAAAAATACATTTGCAATGTCATCTCTCTATCTGCCATGAAAATCAGTTAAGGTAACCCCATGTGACCTGAAGGGTGGGCCCCACCAGCTGGGATGAGTCTCAAAATCACACGGCTTCTTACAGTTTAAAGTGTTAAGCAGCCTTTCTGTCTCCTTTGTCTAGATTCTTGCTCATCTGTGGCATCTGGGTTACTCACCAGAAGATATCATTGGCAACATCTTTCGAGTGTGTAAAACTTTCCAAATGGCAGAATATCTGAAACTGGAGTTTATCAAGGTCAGTGAGAGTGTAGAAGTGCCTCTGTCCTCAAGAGTGTGGGCCATAGTGGCTGGGTGCCGTGGCCCACACCTGTAATCCCAGCACTTTGGGAGGCCAAGGCGGGCAGATCACCTGAGGTCAGGAGTTCGAGACCAGCCTGGCCAACGTGGTGAAACCCCCTCTCTACTAAAAATACAAAAATTAGCTGGATGCAGTGGCAGGCGCCTGTAATCCCAGTTACTTGGGAGGCTGAGGGAGGAGGATCGCTTGAACTTGGAAGGTTGCAGTGAGCCAAAATCGCACCACTGCAGTCCAGCCTGGGCAGCAGAGCGAGACTGTCTCATAACAAAATAAAAGACTGTGGGCCCTGGCTTCGCTTTCTCTTTTTGCTCACAGGCCTGGCACCTAGAAGGCGCTCAGTGTTTCCCAGCTGCAGCGGGAGGGAGGGAGGGTGTGTCTTAGTCACTTTGAGTTACTATAAAGGAATACCAGAGACTGGGTCATGTAGAAAGAAAAGACGTTGATTTGGGTCACAGTTCTACAGGCTGTACATGTAGCGTGATGCCAGCATCTGCCTCTAGGGAGGGGTTCAGGCTGCTTCCGCTCATGTTGGAAGGGGAAGGGAGAGCCTGTGCGTGCAGAGATCAGCTGTCGAGAGAGCGGAGGGAGGTGCCAGGCCCATTTGAACAGCCAGCTCTCCAGGGGCCTAATTGATCCAGAACTCACTACCTTGGGGCGGGCATCAAGCCATTCACGTGGGATCTTCCTCGTGACCCGAACATCCCCACATTGGGGACCAAATTCCAAATGAGATTGGGAGGGGCAGATGTCCAAACTAGATCAACGTGGCTGATTGTCCTGAGGACCAAGTTTGTTTCACACAGTCCTGATTTTCTTCATTCAAGGCTCTCTTGTCTATTGATTGATTGATTGATTTTCAAGGTCAGATTAATTGAGGTTTAATTTACATAGAATAAAATTCAGCCTATCAGGTACAGGACACACGCAGTCAGTCACGCAAACACCATCACCATCAGGATGCAGAATCTGTCATCCCAGAACAACTCACATGTCCCTTTGAAGCCAGCTCCCTCCCTGACTACCACTTGGAGACTACTGATATAGTTTCTGTTTGGGGGATACAGTTTTCCAGAATATCATAAATGGAATCATGTAGAACTTAGCCTTGTGAGTCTGGCTTCTTTCTTTCACTGTAGCAGAAATGCCTTTCAGATGTGTCCACGTTGGTACTTCCATCCATGCGTCAGTCCGTTGTATCACTGAGAAGTAATCCATCGTGTGCACGTACCACAGTTTGCTCATCTGTGCATCAGCTGGAGGACATTTGGGTTTACAGATTGTGGTGACTGTGAATAAAGCCAGTGTAAACATTTGCATATATGGATTAGTGTGAATGCAAATGTTAAGTTTTTCTTTTTCCCAAGTAAGTTCCCAGGATTGCCTGGGAAAATGATAAGTGTATGTTTCACTCCATAAGGAACTGCTGAACGGTTTTCCAAAGTGACTGCAATACGTGCATTCCCAGCAGCATTCCAGAGGATGCTCAACCTAGTCGCCACGCGGAGTGCTCAGTTTGGTTTTTAAGCTGTTTTGATAGGTGTGTAATGACCGGATGCAGTGGCTCATGCCTGTAATCCCAGCTACTCATGAGGCTGAGGGAGGAGGATCACTGGAACCCGGGAGGTGGAGGTTGCAGTGAGCTGAGATCACACCACTGCACTCCAGCTTGGGCAACAAGAGTGAGACTCCTTCTCAAAAAAAATAAAATAATTAACAACCACCACCAAATAACCTAATAGGCATGTGATGAGGTCTCATTGTGGCTTTAATTTGCATTTCCCTAATTAATATGCTGAGCATTTAATCATGTGCTTATTTGCCTTCCAGAATCTTCTTTGATGAAGCATCTATTCATATGTACCCATTTTTTAAAGTTTTTATGTTTTTTATATTTTTGGTAGAGACGGGGTGTCTCGTGTTGCCGAGGCTGGTCTTGAACTCCCAGGCTCAAGTGATCCTCCCTCCTCGGCCTCCCAAAGTGCTGGAATTACGGGTGTGAGCCACTGCACCTGGCCTGCATTTTTTATGTTTTTGAGAGACAGGGTCTTGCTCTGTCACCCAGGCTGGAGTGCAGTGGTGCAATCATAGTTCACTGCAGCCTCAACCTTCCAGGCTCAAGCAATCCTCCCACTTCAGGCTCCCAAGTAGCTGGGACTACAGGCGTGTGCCACTACGCTTAGATCGTTTTTATTTTCTTTTTTTTTTGTAGAGTTTGGGTGTTGCTGTGTTGTCCAGGCTGATCTCCAACCCTGGGCTAGTGATCCTCCTGCCTTAGCCTCCCAATGTGCTGGGATTACAGGTGTGAGCTACTGCTCCAGGTCTAAATCTACCCATTTTTTAATTGGGTTGTTTGTTTTTTATTACTGAATTTATTTATTTACTTAATTATTTTTGAGATGGAGTCTTGCTCTGTCGCCCAGGCTGGAGTTCAGTGGTGCTATCTCGGCTCACTGCAACCTCCGCCTCTCAGGTTCAAGTGATTCTCCTGCCTCAGCCTCCTGAGTAGCTGGAATTACAGGCATGCGCCACCATGCCTGGCTGATTTTTGTATTTTTAGTAGAGATGGGGTTTCACCATGTTGATCAGGCTGATCTCAACTCCTGGCCTTGTGATCCACCCACCTTGGCCTCCCAGAGTGCTGGGATTACAGTCACGAGCCACCGCACCCGGCCTTTATTACTGAATTTTTGAGAATTCTTTATAGTCTGGATGCAAGTTCTTTATCAGATATATTAATATTTTCCTCTAGCCTGGCTTTCCGTGCTGCCCCCCCGCCCCGCCCACCCCTTTTCTTAACAGTATCTTTGAAAGAACTGTCAGCATCCTTTTAAGAAATAAATTGAACTTTAGGTAAACATAATCTATCGCATCTTAGCATTCATTTTCCGGCTGGAGTTGGAATTCCTCATGCTGATTTTGAACAAACCATTAGTTCAGTTTGTTTCTGTTTTTATTTTTATTTTTTCAGTTCAGATTTTGAAAAAGAACTCCCCCACTTACTAACCAGATTTGAATTTGGTTTGTTTTTCAGGAAATTGGATACACTCACATGAAAATAGCAGAAGGAGTGAACTCCCTTTTGCAGATGGCAGGCCTCCTGGCCAGGCTGTGTCAGAAGACAATGGCCCCGGTGGCCAGTTAGAGCAGAGACTTCGCTGACTGACTTACAGGAGCCCTATCCTGAGGTACAGGAGCTGTGGCTTTCTGATGGGGGAAAATGCCGCCTTAGGCTGGAGCCAGCATGACTGCCGTTTAAACTCCAGTGGCTGGCCAGGTGTGGTGGCTCACACCTGTAGTTCCAGCACTTTGGGAGACCGAGGCAGGTGGATCACCTGAGGTCAGGAGTTCGATACCAGCCTGGCCAACATGGGGAAACACTGTCTCTACTAAAAATATAAAACTTAGCTGGGTGTGGTGGCAGGCACCAGCTACTTGGGAGGCTGTGGCAGGAGAATCGCTTGAACCCAGGAGGTGGAGGTTGCAGTGAGCCAAGATCATACCATTGCACTCCAGCCTGGGTGACAGAGAGAGACTCTGTCTGGGGGGTAAAAAAAATTAAATAAATAAACTCCTGTGGCTTTCATGATTGCTTCTGGGACATCTGTGCCTCACGAGTGTTTGCGTTCAGCCTCCGCCCCACTGATGTGGTACGGGGCGGACAGGCGCAGAGGAGCTGAGGGTGGTCTCTGATCTGTGTGTGGGTTGACATTTTAGCTAATAAAGCCTTGCAGTGTTTGTTGGCAATAAGGTGACCACGTGAAGCCTCGAGGAAAACCAGCTTCCTGTCTCTACTGGCCTTGGCAGCCTACAAGTAGAAAAGGCGATTAGATAGTAGGCCCACAAGCTCATCTCGGTTCTTCTAGAAGCCTGAAGGGGCCACTTCCCCAGGGCGAGGGCAGGGTTTGCTGTCATTTCCTATTTAGACTGACTTCTCAGAATGGCCAGGTGGCGAGCCTCTCAGAGAGGGCCGCAGAGTGGAGAGACGCAGCCCAGCCCTCAGGAAAACACCGTGACGCCCTTCCTGTGTTCTAGACCATACTCTTTGTGCTTGCTTTAGAATTCCCCGGGGAATTTCCTACCAATTTGTAGAATTGCCTTTTTTTTTTTTTTTGTAAGATGCTATTTTGTTTCCGGTTTTTTTTATTTATTTATTTATTTTGTTTTTAAGATAGGGTCTTGCTCTGTTGCCCAGGCTAGAGTGTAGTGGGCCAATCCTGGCTCACTGCAGCCTCAACCTCCTGGGCTTAAGTGATCCTCCTACCTCAGCCTCCCAAGTAGCTGGGACTACAAGCATGCACCATGATGCCCAGCTAATTTTTAAATTTTTTGTGGAAATGGGGTCTCACTCTATTGCTGGAACTGATCTCAAACTCCTGTCCTCAAGTGATCCTCCCACCTCAGCCTTCCGAGTAGCTGGGACTATAGGCATGCATCACGATGCTCAGCTAATTTTTAACTTTTTGTAGAAATAGGGTCTTGCTATATTGCTGGGACTGGTCACAAACTCCTGGTCTCAAGTAATCCTCCCACCTCAGCCTCCCAAAGTGCTGGCATTACAGGTGTTAGCCACCACACCTGGCCCGTTTGGGCACAGTGGCTCACGCCTGTAATCCCAGCACTTTGGGAGGCCAAGGCCGGCGGATCACATGAGATCGGGGTTCAAGGCCAGCCTGGCCAACACAGAGAAATCCCGTCTCTACTAAAACATGAAATTACCTGGGCATGGTGGTACATGCCTGTAATCCCAGCTACTCAGGAGGCTGAGGCAGGAGAATTGTTTGAACCCAGGAGGCAGAGATTGTAGTGAGGCAAGATAGTGCCACTGCATTCCAGCCTGGGCGACAGAGCGAGACTCTTGCAAAAACAAGGAAGAGAAGCTTGTCCCTGAGGTTGTGCAGTCAGGACTTCAGGGTGTGAATTAACATGCGGGCAGCAGTTGGGTTCTAGACGTTTCTTCGGATTTCCTAACTTGTTGCATTAATTTCTTCTCATGGGAAGAGTCCCTGAGCCATCCCAGAAAGACGGCTGGACTTGGGAACTAAGATCCCATCCGCAGGCCTGACGCCCTCAGGGTCCCTTTTTATTAAACAGGAGCTGTGGCCGTCATTCCCTTAAGGTTTTTTGTATTTGGTTATGTTTTTGGAGACAAGGTCTCCCTCTTTCGCCCAGGCTGGAGTGCAGTGGTGCAATCACCGTTCACTGCAACCTTCTGGGTTCAAGTTATTTTCCTTCCTCAGCCTCCCAGGTAGTTGAGACTACAGGCATGCACCACCATGCCCAGCTAATTTTTGTTTGTTTGTTTGTTTGTTTGTTTGTTTGTTTTTGAGACGGAGTCTCACTCTGTCGCCCAGGTTTTTGTAGAAATAGGGTCTTGCTATATTGCTGGGACTGGTCACAAACTCCTGGTCTCAAGTAATCCTCCCACCTCAGCCTCCCAAAGTGCTGGCATTACAGGTGTTAGCCACCACACCTGGCCCGTTTGGGCACAGTGGCTCACGCCTGTAATCCCAGCACTTTGGGAGGCCAAGGCCGGCGGATCACATGAGATCGGGGTTCAAGGCCAGCCTGGCCAACACAGAGAAATCCCGTCTCTACTAAAACATGAAATTACCTGGGCATGGTGGTACATGCCTGTAATCCCAGCTACTCAGGAGGCTGAGGCAGGAGAATTGTTTGAACCCAGGAGGCAGAG